CACTCCTACGAGAACATACAGTATACTGCAAATAGAGCACATGATAGGCATAGTGATGTCATAGCTCTGAGGTGCCAATGAAAAACACTATTAATTTTAGCTAAAAGTCATTAAATCTTTATATTTCACTTTCTCTTCACTTCCCTTATAAGCATGAAGATTTGGCTCCCTTTTTGAGACCACTTTTGGCTAGGAAACAAAGTATTTTATCACTTCATAAAAATGACTGCATAAATGACACCAGCAGAGAGCAACAAAGCCCTCTTGGGATGAAACTGCTGGGCAGCCAGCTAGGCTCAGTTGTTGGTCTTTTAGTGCAAGTGACTTAAATTCCTGCCATAGCAAAATGTCCAGTTACCACTTGTCATGGACATTCATGTTTGCTTTTAGAAGAATGGAAACCAAGAATGTTAAATCATTTAATCCCAAGTGTCTCCTGTATGGGTATGATCTCACCTATGTTATGAGCTATAGACAAGACTGGAAAGAAATGCCACAAAAGCATTAATGGTGGTTATCTGTGGGCGCTCGAGATTATTAGTGAGTTTTGTTTTTATTATAGCCTTTTATCGACATTTCTGAATTAGCATTCAGAATCAGAAAAAAAGCCATTCCATAAAAACATAAAAATTATTTTGAAAAGAACAGGCTAGACGTCAATAATCTCTTTAGCCTCAGAATAGCTAGATGAACTAATCGACGGTCATGGAAGGAAGCGGATGTCATTAGTGAGTGTAAGAAAGGGAAACAGTGAGAGAAAAAGAGGAGGAAAAAATGAGAAGGGAAAGCAAAGAAAGAAGGAGGTGGGAACAAAAGGAAGAGAAAATGAGAAACAAAAAATGGACAGATGGTCAAGAGTGAGATATTCCTGAGATCCTCCAGACCACAGTCTCCAGTGCCCATCCGAGATCTCCATTAATTCAAGACAATTCCTAGAAATCGTGTATCTTCAAAAAGTTTGTGGAAGGATTCATATTATTGTTTTAATTCTATTTTCCCACAAATTTTTGAAGTACCCTTGTATTTAGGAAGCTGTTGTGAACCTCCTAAAACCAAAAAAATGACTGATACTTAACAATCATTGAGTTTAAAGCTGGAAAAGACCATGGACACAATAATAAGCCGTGATTTAGAAACATCTTGGTCTTGAAAGGCTTTCTATGGTGTATAAAACCACGGTAAATAAACACGGCATCAATGATATTTACTATTAAAATTTTAGTTGATTAGTTCAAATGTATAACTTTTATTTATAAAGCAAAATAATGGAAACACAAGAAGTCCGTATCAGGGATTATGGCTACTGGTGGTCACTTCCAGTTGACTTCTGCTGTGTTTTGGTTTTAGATAGGTAATGGTAATAGTTGTTGCAGCTCACATTGCAATCTTCGGATACTTAGTTTTTCAATTAGACATAATCAAAGAACTTGATGATGAGGGCAAAAGTATTTATTTTAGTAGTACAACATTTTTACAATTGTTACAACAATTTTTTCCAATTTAACTTAGCTCAAATCAGATAATATGTTTTTCAATATGTTTGAAAATATTTTTTGTAAGTTATTATTTAGAAATACTTAAAACATAAAACAAAATTTAGTGAAGCAACAGGTTCTGTGGGCACAGTTTGAAAACCTTTAACACAACAAACTGCCCTCTCACCTGCAATTTATTGGTAAGAAAACTGAGGCCCAGAAGGATAAAAAAATAAACCTAAGGCCACAGATTTAGTTATTTAGTGTTGCTGTCCATGATAATTCCCAGTCTTGAAAGGGAACACACCTGGATAGCTTATTGGGATTTTACTTTTAAATGTGATAATAGGCCAAAAATCCTAGTGTGATACAAGAAAAGTGAATAAATATCTCAATGGCTAGATATAATAAATTTCTCTTGAAATTCAAAAATATGTGACTTTTTCCTTTTGGGAATTTCTAATATCAGACAGAAAAGTGTGGGTTTAATGTCATTGTGTCACCTTTGATTTCACTGTTAGACATTAAATCTGTAGTTAAAAAACAGTTCTTGGAGGGTTCGATTCTGCTATGTCCGATGGGA